TGATTAAAAATAGATTAAAAGTTTTATTTGCATTATTAGTTTATTATATTAAATTTAATTTAAATGCTATGATCCCACGGTTTTTTTTAACTGTAGTTTAGTAGATTTTGATATTATATATTTTTTCATATTAATTTCAATGTTAATTCCAACTTTATGCCTTGGGAAAGCAAAATAGTACAGTATTAAAGAAACAGTGGGACAAAACTCTATTAATTTCTCGTTCGTCGATTTCAATTTCTGCATCAACTATTAAGTAAATCCTCCTTTGTAGGTCATTTTATTACGTCTCGCTTCGCAAGTTGCATTCAGTGAGATGAGATCCACACGGCACAATGAGTAATTTCGTTTTCTGCTGCGTGTGTTATTTGCTCCCGATGCACCGGCGCTTTCTGCAAACGACGTTTCTTCTGTGCACAAACGACAAGCTCGATATATCGCGTTTGTGCACGCAAGTGGAACGGACTTTTGATCTGCGAGATGCAGTCAAAGGGTTGCTTTTGTTAAACCCCTTTAGGCAGACGAGAGAGATGCAGCGCTGAATTGAAATCAACTGCTGCTGGTAGGAAAGATGAGAGAATCAAAATAAGTGCTATACAGTGAGGAAGATTCGATTCATTCAAGCGGAACGACGCTATAATGAAATAAAATATATTAAAATATATATTTATGTGAAATAAATTAATTTTATGAAAATATATTTTAAAAACTGTTCAATTTTTATATTTCCAAACTTCAGTCAAATTATTTGATTTGAATTTAAACAAAATTTGTATGTAGCTTTTTTTACTTAATTTTTTTTCATTATTTTTTTATCATCGGAATTCTATAGCTACCGACAAGTACAAGTACTCTTTATATTTGAAGTTCAATTTAAGGTTCATCTTGAATTAAATCTTGAACAATTTTTGCGAAAATCTTCAGGTTTTCCCACGAGAGAGTTGCTGATGATGGGAAAGAGCCGCAGTGCATTTTGCACGTTATTTTGATTATATATTTTCACTGGGCATGTAGAGAAGTGAAGCTGATTGAGCTTCCTTTCAAAGATCAGTGTCAGCTGGAAAAATGTTGAAAATCGTAAATATCAGATAACGAATACACTCGGCCCTTGCATTGTTCCGGGTTGGCCTTGGATCAAAATCTTCTTTTCGCGATGATCAGTTTGATTGACAGACATGGCGCATCATCTTTCGCAAGGTTGGAGCTTGAGAATAAGCCGCTCTTTCAAAAAGGTGGCCTCTGCGGAGAGGATGTTTTTGTTGAGCGGAAAATAAAACCAAATTTTTATTGCGAAGGAAGTATTGTGTATGGAGAAGAAGAAGACGTAGTTTCAATGTCAAACTAAATGAGCCTTATTCAAAGTCAGCGAGAAGAAAATTGCATAAATAGAATTGGTTAGAAATGAGAAAGTAAAAATTGCAAAAGTTTCTTAGTTAACAATAAATTTTAAGCTATTTTTAATTAAGTAAGACACTTTTGGTTTAAAAACAAATTTTACTTATGTATATGCAAATTTTATAATTAAATTCTGTAGATCAAGGATTTTTATATTCGTTTTTGGCATAACTATTTAAGGCTAGTTTTACAGTAAGGCTCATATTGCTATAGTAAATTAATTAATTAATTGCCGCTCTTCAACAAGATAGCACACTGAAGCAAAAGTTTCTCGGTGGCAGGTATGTGTGCGTGCAAAACCTTTTCGCTCACTCTCGCACAATTATTATTAATTAATGCGCCGGTATGTTGTTTCTAGTCAAGCACACACATAGTTCTCGTTCCTCTCTCGCGCAGAGAGTGCTCGTCTACTTTTAATGTATTAAAATTGCGTCTTTCGGAGAGTGGAGCCTATTCAATGGGGAATATATAGCGCGGCCTAACTAACTAAGAAAGGCTAGTGCGTTTAATTGCGTTTCGTTTTTTGTGAAAACCGTCTCTTGTTCTGCACGCGAGAGAAGTGTGTATGTTCAAAACACGCATATTCACGCATATATGCCACACAAAACGAGAGACTTACTAAATAGGTACCATTTGTTTGAACTGCTGCTCGAGAGAGCGTTTAATTGTTCCTCTGTTAAACGGAGAAAGGCCGGGAAGGCACGTTCTGCTAACAATTATTTCTATTAATTAGTAACATTTAATTTGCCTTATGTTGGTGTTTCCAGACTGGATTTGTAATGATTGTCTACTTTGTAGGAAGTTGTATTTTAATGCAAAATAACTTTCCTTGAGTATCTAAAATTATGATTTCTTCATAAAATTTTTCAAATTTATTGTAGGACAAACTTTATATTTCTTTTTTACTGAATTAATATTAGATATTATTATTTGAGATGATATTATACCCAATTAATTAAATGCATCTTTAATCTTATAATAAATATAATAAAAAATAATTAATGTTTTGCAATAATTAAAAAAATATACAAAAATTAAATTTTAAGTAATCCATTGATTTTGGTTGCTCATAGAATTACTATAGTAATTTATTGTCATTTAATTAATTTATTAAATATAATTTACAACTAGGCAAGATGATTTAAAATCTACTTGAATAAAAAAAATGTCCATTCTTTTTGCACCAAATTGCTCTTTTGTCGCCACGATTATCTCTCACCAATTTGCCCTTTCATTCTCTTGAGACTTCAGATCATCCGCCTGAATTACTCTCTCCTTCACTCTCGGGTCTTATTGTTTCGAACAAAAGTCTAATTGGTTCACATGTATGGAGTGTACTGCACGAAAGTAAGTGCCAACGAAAGTTCTGACCCTAATATCGACGTGCTGGTCGGCGGATTATCAGAGCTTTGGGAACAAAAGTGATTGGGACCAGTTTAAGAGAAGAATAAGGTTTTAACGGCTGTTCGAAGAGCAGTGCGATTAAAACTTCTTGAAAACGTGTGGATCGAGATTTTAAATCCTTTGCAACTAAAGAAGGGATTTGGGTGTTGCTCTACAAAACTAATCGAGCTGAAAATTCAGTTGCTTTGATTACAATAATCGTCGTGGAAAACTTGCCTTAACTCTTTTTTTTTTAGAGACATATTGAATTGGTTTAATTTATTAAAATTTGAGGACGCCGAAGTCAAATTAATAATGCCACTAAAATTAAATATTAAAATTGAAGTTATTCAATTCAATAAATAAATAATTAAATAGAATAAAAAAAAACACGTTTGTAAAGTCTGATTTAATTGCTTAAAAAAAAATGAAATTTAAATTGTTATTTTAATTTTCAATGGGATTTGAATTTTTTTTTTCTTTTTTCATCCTGTTTGGATCCTAAAATATTTTTCTGCATTCATCTCGGTCTGCAAAGCCTCGAATTTATTTTTCATTCTCCCTTTTTTTGACCCAATGCACGCAATCAAAGCATTAAATCTGGACGCAAGAGAGCGTGCGTAAATATTTTTTACAAATCGCCATTAGCAGCCGAGCGCTTTGGCTGACAAATACGCACATTTGGTGCTGCAATAAAACGCTCTCGGTGGGCGTGAATTATTGCCTCTAAAGCCGGTGCCATGCGCGCGAATTTCACGTCGTTTTCGCGCGCGGAGAGGCACATGACAAATTGCTGATGGAGAAACAGAGGAAACAAATGAATTTGATTTATTAAAAGCCACCTTTGTTTGCCCATTATTCAGCTTTTGATGTTTTTGATCCCATCTAAAGCTCTTGTAATATCACAAAATCCGCAAAAATTGTAAAACAACAATTATTATTTTACAGAATATAAAGTTTATAAATGACTTAGGAGAGTGATTCCGTGTATTAAGTTAAATATAATTATTTTTTTTAGCATGAAGAATCTAATTAATGAACTCTCTTTCTCTTCTCTTGTGAGTGCTTTTTAAAAGAGCGAAAAGACCAGTGGATGGTGATTAATTGAGTGGCGAAAAAGTTCTCGAATTTCGTCCCCAAATTAAAGCGCTCTCGGCGAAACCCATTAAAATTAATTAGGACAGCCATTAGCGTGGCGGAGGGTGAAGCGGAGCAAAGAAGAAGTTTTAGCCCTGGAGCGATTTTTTATTTTAAAAAAGTGAAAAATTCTCCAAATAAATATGCGAAATTTAATATGATAACATCATAATTTACATTACTTTATGTATTATATTCCTTCATTATTTTTGAAACCTTTTATAATTTCATAAAATTTAGTTATTAAATCGCCGGAATGATTTCATTTTTTTTTAACGATAATTAGTAAACCGTATCTGATACCTCCTGGCGGTTCCTATAATATGAAAGTTTCACGTGAAAAGAGCCCGCAAAATTCTCCTTTGCCTCTATCTCTACTTTTTTATTATTTATTGTGTAGTCTTTGATGCTCTGAAAATTTTCAATCGTGAGCCATCGATTTTATTATAAAATTACCGAAGATAAAAAATAAGTACATTGCCAAAGGCAAGAAATAATTAACCGGCCGCAAAATTAATTGGAAAGAAAAATCAGAGCAAGAAATCTCGCTGTAGCTTTTAACGAGGGTTCTTTATATGAACTGAAGTAGCGACTGAGTTTATGTAATGATTGCGGGGAGCAACGGGTTTGTTTGATTAGTGAAGCCTTAAACGCTTCCGTGCACAATTTTTCACGATTGATTGATTTGTGCCGATCAAAGATATACTTTCATTCAGACCCTAAAAATATAATCTGGCCTACATTCTTCAACTTTTTGTTTCATTTTTAAGTTTAAAATCTTTCCATTGATATTGTTTTAACATTTGAAAACTTCAAAATTATTCGCCTTTTTTTCTTTCAGATTAGATAATTTTTGTTCTGAATATAGAATGAATTAATAGAAAATACTTTAGACAATTTATCGCATGGTTTAATCAAAATTATTTGAATTAATATCACAATCTAAATTAGATGGGCATTGAACAAAATAAATTTTATAATCATGAAATGATTATCAAATGACGAAATGACTGATTTATTTGAACCATTTGAACTATGTGTAAATCAGTGTAAATGAATCATCCTAGCTTGATTGTGAGTTGTAGACGGAGCCACGGAAATGCCCATTGTCGCGACGCTTGGCCTCTCTGCTAATTGAAATTTGGCTCCTGGCTTGATTGCCACAGCGGCTGGGGCTGTGAAGCGTCCGTCGCCTTCCCTTCAGTCGCTCCCTTGCTTCAGTCCAGTAAACATGCTTTCCCTACATGTGCTTCTGGTGTCCAGCTCTTTTCTCCTGTTGAATCTTCCACCTGTTCTGCAAGGTAAGAACTATAAAAAAAATGTTTAAAAAAATCACAAAAACCTCATAAAATTTTTTATACATATTTAAATGTAAAAAATAGTATTTAAACACAAGAGGTTCAATAGTGCAACATAATTTGTCAATAAAGCTAATTTTAATTTAATTTTTAAACGAATTTTTTTTTATTTCAGGCTATTCTCTAACAGGAATGAGTTTGGAACCCAAAACGCCGACGAACTTCAATCTGAAACTGGAAACTGTTGATTTGATAAAAGGTAAATAAATTATTATTTAATTTGAAAAAAAAATGAATTGTTTGAATTATTTTCAAAAATTTTATTTATCTTAATTTATAATTTATTTATAATTTTAGTTGTGAACAAAGTGCCTGAGAAGTGCAATGAGCCTGTTTTCTCTGCCGACCAGCCCTTGGACAACTGCGACCCTCTCGGAGGCTCTTTCCCAACACACAACCTTATTTGCCAATGTCCCGACAGGAATAGAACTGGCGTTAGGTTGGTGTGTTTTGGAAAATCTTGGAGGTTGTGGCCTGCTGATCACGAAGAATATCCTTGCTGTGAGTCCTTTTTTCAATTGGGCTTTTTTCTTTTGAAATAATTTGTAAATTTTTTCTTGAGCTGGATTAGGTAAAGTTTTTAAATTCAAAGGCTTAGAGTACTCATATATTTAAATTTTATCTGATTTCAAAGAGATAAAATTTCTTAAAATTTGTTGATTTTTGGGACTTTTTGGTGAAGAAAGAATTGGGAAGAATGATAATTTTTAAGGAAATTTTCATTGTTTTTAATTATATGCTTATTATGACCCTTTACTCTTTACTGCAAAGCATATCTTAGTTAAATAAAATTTATATTTATTTTTTTATTTCAGTGATAGTATCTAGACCGGTCTCAACCACCACAAGAGTGCCGTACTTCAAGGGCCAACTCTCGATTCTCGAAGATTTGAAGCACGCCACCAAAGACGCGGTCAAAGACTTTGGCAAAACAATTTTGCACAGACTAGCCGACGGCTTGGTTAATAAAACTTTGACCTAAATCGATTTTCCCGCTTTTCATTGAAGAAACTTTTGTTCGTCTTAATTAATTCAACGGGTTAGGGTCCAGGTTGCTTTTGTTTTCCGATGTACAGAATGTTTGGCAAAGTTTGGCTCTGGTAAATACACACGGCGCATCTACCGAGTCCTGTGATCGATCCTAGGAGGTGACCCTTGAGATTTGTGGCGCACCGAGGAAATGACCGGAGGATTCAGCTCGTTAGCCTCTCTGTGCGTTTGAGGCGCACAAAAAGGTGCTCCATCCTGGCCGTTAGAGTAAATAGAAAAGAGAGTCTGTCTCCATTGTTCCCATTGACACAGTGGAGCTGCAAAATATATTGAGGTTTTCCTGCTCGTTCAAGTTTGCTTTTAGTTTTTTTATTTCCAACAGATATCACATATAAATAGAAAAGAAAAAAATTCATGAAAATCTAAATTTTGTTGAAGAAACAATTTTAATAGTTAGAAAATTGAGAATTTAGTTATAACGAAATAATGAAATTTTTAATATTTTCCTTTCTTTGCTCACAAACTGCTCCAAAATGCAGGTTTTGAAATTACTCGACAAATTTTGCCCAACCGTAGCTCAAGGTTTTGCGTTATTTGACATTTTTAATTGTATCAAATTCAAACAAATTTGGAATTAAATGAACAACCGACGAGCAGGACATAAATCCAAAAGTTTATCGTTCGCAGTGCGTTACCAAAAAGGACCATTCTTTTATCTGGGCGCAGTTCTTTTCAAACTCTTAAATCCAGCCAGCGTGTAATTCACGAAATAATCCAGAGAAGAAAAAGGGGTTGATTCATGGGCAGCCGTGTGGCGGAGTTTTAAAATAATACGCTGCATAAAACAAAGGGAAAAGAAAAGCAGAAAACTGCCGGGGCGGCCAGACGCATTTATAACAGTATGCTCTGCGTACACGACCTGTGTGCGTTGCGAGACGCAAGAGTGAGGACGAAAAATGAAATTTTCCGCTCTGCCTAAAATATGTCGCCTCGAACACTCTTCCTTTTATCTTAAGAGTTTACATCCCGACCGGCGCGTTAGGGCCTTTCTGAATAAATCTCTATTTTTTGCATCGACTGACAGACAAATACCAAAAATATACATGAAAATTTTTTATTTTTTATAAATCAAAAAGACTATTTATTTAAATTTATTTTAGTATTTGTATTATTTCAAAGTGGCATATTTAGGCTCAAATTTTTTGGGAGTGCTAAAGACAAAGAGCGGATCGGGAGCAGTAAAAGGGCGAACAACTTGAATATCACAAAATCCAATTCCGGTAAACTTTGTCCCTACAACAGCCCCTTAACTCTGAGAGCAAGAAAAAGATATCTCATATCTCTCGGCCCAAGGCGTCAAATCAGCAGCGAAACTTGACGGTCTGTAGGGGTGCGAAAAAAGACAGTTGGGGATAAGGAAAAAACAAGGGCGGCGAAATGCAGGATATGAGCCACTTTTAACTTTTTTCCTCGCATTCAATATAAAGATGATTGCTTGGGCCGTTTAAAAAAAGGAGCCATTAACGTCGCCCGGAAAGAGGGAAGATTCTCTCTTTTCCGGAAAGAGCCAAAAATGGGACTGGTGCTTAGTGAGGATTCGCTAAAAGGACGCCGTCGTTTGACACACGCAATAATAAAATGCCTTGTTAGAGCGTGCATTCTTTTAAATCTTCGGGAAATATGGTTCTAAATCTGCACCCAAAGGACCGAGAATTGCCCTCTCTGGTAATTAACTCCCCCATTCATTTGAGGGTTTGCCTCTGCAGGGAGAGAAAAGCAGATTAAAAAAGAGAAAAGGGGCCTGCGTCAGACAAACCTTTCTTTGTTAAATCCTGGAATTTACGATTTTCTTTTTTTTAATTACAGGAAAATGCATAATAAATTTGCCGCCATTCAAAAGCTTTGCTCAAAACATTTTTTTAAGGCTCTTCTTTTTAGCCTTGTTTAGATTAATAATTACTGGATGCTGAAAAAGCTTAGCCGCAGTTAAATCCTTTGCTCTTGTCCTTTCTCGGACAAAAACCCTTTTCAGCCCTCAGAATCAAGTTGAATAAATAGCAGCTATAGCAGCAGTTTGTACAAAAATGGTATGTTGTCACATGCAAAGCCAAATAAGTTTGCTCCCGTTTTTCCTCCTACTTGTGAAGCCAAATTTCTTATTTTGTTTCTTTTGAACAGTGATAATATATATAAAGTAAACACACATTTTTATATCGATTTTTGTTTATAAAACGAAACTAAAAAGTTTCTCTTTTGAATAAATTTCTCACCAAATTGGGAATTTTATTGTTATAAAAATTTGATAATTGTAACGTTTTGGCCAGTTTTGGCGACGGGAGACCGCAGAAGTTTGTTGAAAATCTCATCAGAAAGCGTGGCCCCTGAAGAACAAACTTGTGAATCTCTTCGCTTAAAATTAGTGATGCGCCCTCTCGCAAAAAGTAAACATTTCCAGCTATATGCACATTTGTGTTTGTTCTAGGATGGAACACAAACTGAGCTTTGTATATAATTTTTGCAATTCAAAGGAAAGGTGAGCGCCAGTTTGCATCCTGTTCCCGCACATTTGCATTTTATCTCTTCGCGACTGGCTCTACTTTGCCTGTTTCTGCATCAAAACGTCTCCCTGATAAGGATTATGCTAATTATTTGCCGGATGGTGGAAAATATTCCTCTCGTTTGCATGCCCATTATTTCCATTAATATCATTCCTATTTTATCATTCAAGCATAGTACAATTAACAATAATTTAAAGTGATTGGTTTTTCTTCAAATTATTTTATAGATTTTAAAAAGATATATTTTAATTACATTTTTTTCTGAAACATTCACTTGCATAAGTTTTGCCTTGATTCAGATAGTTTTTGCTCATTAACAAATGTTAAACGGTTTTTTATACCTCGTCGCGACTTTTCATATTTGTACCTAAAAATCGACAATTTTAAAAGATGAACTAATTGTGACAAAACTTTCATTTTCCTGATAAGATGTGTAATAAAACAGGTATAAGTAGTTAATATTTTAGAACAGGACTGAATTAATATTTTAAAATATAAATTTAAAAAACTCGTCTATAAAATACCATATTGCAGGCACAGAAAAAAATGTCAGACTGTAAATTAATTCAAAACAAATAATAATAATTATATAATAAATAACAGAAAGGTAAATAAATTACAAAATATGAACATATTTAATGATATTATTTTAAAATTTTATAAAGAGCATAACAAAATTTTTTTTATTTTACCATTTTTTTTTAATTATTTCTGGCCCCCATTAATATTTGCAATACACAAAAAGTAATACATTTTTATAAAACCAAAACCAGCAGCCTGCAGGTAGTCTTTTAGGATAACTGCCTTTTTTTATTATTCTTTTTCAACCCAGGTTAATACTGTATATTCCTGCTTATTGTAAAAATTTTCCAAATGAAATCCACTCAGAGTTTTATAATTTATAATCTATTATTTTCTAAAGGAAATAAGATAATAATTTTATTACTATCTATCGCTTCATTTATTAATTAATTTATTTATTTATTCTCCATTTAGATACAATGAAATACACATCAGCTTACATCAAGTCGATACACATAAAAATGTCATTCAACATTGTTAAAAAATCGGCAGTTTGAAACTCGCAAATCCACGTTTAGAGTGGAAAAATAATTTATATGCGTCTTTTTTAAAAGCCATATTAGCAGGCAATCCTTGTTCAACTATTTCATATATTTTCCACTTCCCCATCTTCCATGATAATTCCACATAGAAAATAGGTAATCGAAAAAAGCACCGACATGCAGAATAGACACTCTGGGGTGTCGTGTGTTTATTTTTTCACGCTTTGCGACGATAATTTTCAAAAGCATACACTCGTTTTTCGCTACGCCGTACACTAGAGATTGTACACTTTATGTATGCATGTGTGCACTCTAGTTTTTTTTTCTTTGGTAATACACACACTCCATACATTGTCCCTAGCGACTGCTGGGCGTGCAGAGTGCTGCGTTGGCGAGGAAGCGCAAAAGCGGCTGAAAGGATTTCTCTCTCTCCAGAGCCCGCATTTTGCATTTTATATCATAGTTGGCGGTTTGCAGCTCTTTCCCAACTCGGAATGAAATTGCATTATGCAAAAATATGGAAAGAGCACGTCTCAGCGCTAATGATCTCAAAACATTGGAAATTCTCTTTGTCTGCATGCATTTAATATTGGGTAGTGAAAATGAAAATCTCAAATTCTTGAAACTGTTCCCTCAGGAAAAGCTTTTTGAGATACAAATTCTTTAAAAATTTAAATAATATTTTAAATAATACAAATATTAGTTAAAAATTCCCCCTTTTTTAAAAAGGGCTTATTATTGATTAATATTATTTTTTTTTTTTAATGTGGTACAAAAAACCATTTTTACATTTTATTTTTATATTCAATACAAAGAAAAACCCATTATAACATTGAAGTATTCCAAGCGTTTCTTTTCCTTTTTCTGGGAAAAAGAGAAAAAAAAATTTTTTCAGCCTCTACAAATATTATCACATTAATTAGTTTGATTCAGAATGATATTTACAAAATGGACACATTTACTTTTGGATTAAAAAAAAAAATCATTTTACACCAGTCTAGTGATATTGCTTGTAATTCGTAGTGGAAATTTGCTGCAAAATTTTAACTCTTTGAATGTTATCAATTAATAAATAAGTTTCATAAAAACAATTTACTTAAAGTTTGGTCTTTCCAATATCATAGACGGCTGTAATTTGGGTGTCAGGTTATTACTACAGATGTGACATCTATCCGACGTCAGCCAGGTAGACTTCCTACAGTTTTTTTTTTAAGATACTGATCGCTGCGGTATAGGGTCTTTTTCCCCCGCATGTGTTTACGTGGCAACGTTGGAGAAAATAACTCTTTGCTCTTTATATAGCGGCCAAGGAAAAAATTCAACCTGCAGGAAGCGGGAGTTGTTCGACGGCATGCACAAGATGTGATTCACCCGCGAGTCATTATTATTTTGCTATTTTGTTAGTCTCTTCTTGACAGTGCCCAAAGAAATATATTTAAATTGGAGTTTTTCTCTTTGATTTATGACGTCAAATCCAGTAGATTTTTTCTGAGTGGATTTAGTTGATAAATATTTCAATCGATCCTTGTTGATGTGAGGAAAATATTTCTGCCTGCATTTGATAGATTTAATTAATCAAAAGATGATTACTGATTTTTAAGTATCAAAATAGGCAAAAAATTTAATTGCAGCATAAAAAGTACATAATTAAATGAACCGTAAGAAAAATGCATTTTATCAAAAATTGATGAATATTTTCTATAATGTGCAATAAAAATAAATGCTTGATAATTATTTCTTAACAAGATTTTATCTTTTATCGCGCTTTATGAATTTAACTTTCGTGCTCTGAATTTAGTGTTATTTTTCAAGCTTTTTTCGTCAAGGAAGCGGTAGTGTAAAAAGTGGAATTATAAAATGTATATATTTTATGCATAGTTCTGGACCTTGGTTTTGCACGGTTGTAATAATTTTTGAATTTCATGTATTCTAATTAACGCGAGAGTTCCACCCGGTTTTAATACCCCAATATTCATGATTGGTTTTTGGTTGCGTTGAAATTGCCCACCGGAAAGCAAATCAACCAGGTGGTGCTCTTTGTGCGTAATATTATATTCCACTACCGGCCGCTCGAGTGGGTATACACAACGCGAGTTATTAACCTCCGGAGAACAACAATAATTAGAGTAGCGGACACCTGGAGCCATTTAAAAGCCTACATGAGCTGTAACTCGTTGCCGATGCGTGTTATTTTTGGAATTAATAAAAAAAACTCGCTCGCCATGCCGCAATAGAGACCTGCACAACAAAAAGTGCAAATTTTCCTTTAGAGTTCACTTTTTTTCCAATTCTAAGCTCAACGCAATATTAGAGCATGGCTTAGAGTGAAACAAAAACCCGCTCACTTTGAAAGGGAGGAAAGACGGGTTATTTACAAAAGCGGAGAAGACATACACGGCGGCGCATATATTATTTGGCGCAAAAAATGTAATAATCCTACCCAGCCGCTTCATACAGAGGAACGGTGGAGCAAATTCGTTAAGCTCCGTCCACAATTGAAACTTTAAAAGTTACAAAAGGCACAAAAATATGATTTTCTAGCCTTTTCTTCTCTATTTGAACCTACATAATTTTTGTTCTTTGCTCGACTCCAATTATAAAATAATAACATAAAAATTCCACTTACATGAATTAGGGATTTATCTGCAGAAGTCACAAACAAGTTCTTATGGGTGAATAAGTATTTTTTAAATCTGATGTCCTTAAGTGCAAAATTAAAACTTTTGTCTTCTACAAAATCATTTCAGTGCCACCTTAAAATTAAAATATTAGATAAATCTCATTTGGAAAATTAAAACGGAAACTGGAATATACTAATATACTTAACAACGCAAACACGACAGAACTCTAAAAAAGCACTTGCAAATTAACAACCATCGATATATCATTAAATTTTTTTGTGCTTCAATAGATGTAGAAGATAATTTGCGTTTCTTGACATTATTACGGGACTTGGAGACAAATAACGCACTCAAAGACATTATGATACGAAGAATTGATTGCTAAAAAAACACAACTTTCCTGCGCCCAAAAGAGTGCATTTCATATCTTTTAATAAACTTTTCCATCAGACTTATCTTACTAATTTATAGCAAATCAATAGAAATAGATTCATCAGATCATCGCCACGTCTACGCCATGGACCAAATAAATATTATTTTAAGAAACGTTTTGTAAAATTTTCATAGGTATTGAATTTTCATGTATTGTACCTTATTTTTAGAAAAAACATTGAAAATTAATATTTAAAAAAATAATTTAATATTTTAGAACATAAATAAAAATTAATAACATTATAATAAGAAAAACAAATTCTTTTAGTTAAATAAAGCTCAAAGTTTTAATTAGTTAGATTTTAATGCCTTTTGATTGAAAAAAAGTTGTTCAAAAGGTACCGCTCTCTTTCATCGTGGACCCAGGCTTGACGCGATGAGCATACCTGTCTGCCAGTGAGTCGCGATTGGAAGGAGCGAGGGCGCGCGCAGAGGTTGCGCTGCCGCCGCTCTTGGCGTGGAATTCGAGCGCCGCTAGCCGAGCTTTGGTCGTCGAAGGAAGGTTCAGTCGTTGGTTCAGTCGGTAGTCGCGCCTCGCGGAGTCATCAGCTCCCGCATACCATTTGAAAACTGAGCCGCCGAAAGCAGCCGAGTCGAATTCGCCGCGCCGAAACGAAGTGTGCTCGACCCCAGATGGCCCTCCGAGGGCCCCCAGAGACCCGAGCTTGATCACTGTGTCCTGTGCGCCATAATTATACCTTTGTGTGGATTTTTCCGTGCCGAACAACAGGTTGCTCCTGAGAGGCGTTTGCATCGTTGAGTCAGACACGGTCCCCGAATATGGCAGGTAAGAAAAGCTGCTGACACGAAAAAAGTTTGCTGATTTCGGCGAATAATGTTTCCACCGACAGGAAATTTGTTGGAAATATAACAAGTGGCAAACTAATAGGATTTTTTTTATAAAGTTGTAACATTTATTAGTAGCATTTAATTATTAAAAAATATAGAATAGTAATTTAAATCTTTGATATTTTTTTTGACAAAATATTTGCATATTATGTTTTTGATTATATTCGTTGTAAAATCCAATTTAATATTTGAACTTTCCTCATACCTATCTCGGTTTTGCGCATAAAGTTATAAATGGAAGTGGTTTTGGTATTATTTCTTCTAATTTCCTCTGTTTCGAAAGATCGAAACAGAATAACTCGGTGAGTAATTTTAGGCCGAATTTTGCCGCCAGTGAGGCGGCCAGAGCGCGTTTTTCAGAGCTTTTTCCTTCCAAGAGGCTCAAATTGGCTGCATCGAGAGAGCCGTCCAATGGTTCCGGGGATAATGAGCATATGGAGGAACTAGAGACTCTGAGTAGTGGGATTGACCTCATGCAGCCAGCACTGGCCTTGACGCCGAGCGCGGCCAGCCTTTTTCATTTATTATTCTCGAGGAGCCAGTGTAAAATAGCTCCTCTTGAAAGATCTCTGCGAGATCGCGCGGTGGCCAGACGAAACGGTTCTTTCGAAAATCATCTCCAGATGCTCCAGAATGCACGGAAAACGATGTTTCACTTTCCGCCACAACTCTACTTGACCGCAACGAAAATAATTTCAATTAAATTTTTATTTCAAGGAAAAAGAACTTGATTAGATAAACATTAATAATAGCAATGAGTATTCACATTTAAATTTGGACGACAAAAGAATTATAAAGTTTCTTTTGCTCGCAAATGCAATGTTATGCTTTCTTGACAAACTCGCAAATTATTGAACGTAAAAATTCAAACCGCAGGGTTGTGGGTGGCCTTGTTAAAAATTGAAGAAGAAAAATGGACCATGAAGAGCGAAATGTATTTTTATTTCTGCTTGAAAAGAAATTAAAAGGGTGGATGATATTATCTCAAAATTAATTATTTTTTTTTTCAAAATTATTTCATTATTTTGTGGTTGATTGTTCCGTAAAATAAAATTTAAACAATTTCCATTTCCAATCATTTCCAGTCAAATTTTGTCTTTATCAAAGCAATTTTTTTTTCAATTTAATATTTTGCTAATTAAATTTGCATCTGCTTTAATTGATTTTTTTTCATAGGTTGTTTTCCTATTATGAATGAATTTATGGAAGTGCTGTTGATCATGGATCAATTTGTTGCTTTTTGTCTCCGAATGAAGTTTAGTTGATCCTTACTGATAGAATTCGCAAATATAAACTTCAATAAATTAGGAAATTAATGCATTCACTAAAGAAAGTCTTGAATTTACATTTCACAATTTTTTTCGCCACTTAATTCAGAAAGCACGACGGAACGTTGTGCAAATAGTATGCACTGGGGTACCGAGTGAAAGGACAGGCAGTCTGGCGGCGTGGAAAAAAGAGGTAAAACTTTTCCTGCCTTCTGCTCTTGCTCTTTTCTTGTGGGCACATTCTCTGTGTACCCAGCAGTGTCTTCTGAGAACCACTTTGGAAAAATCAATGATACCGCTGCCGTCTTCAGTCTTTTTAATTTTCCGCCCACTGGGCGAAAAAAAAACGACAAAGGCTTTTTCGCATTGCCTCATCATTTGAAACCTGCAGGCCATCAGCAGTTTCAAAACCAAATTTTGCATTTTAGTCAAAAGGAGGTGCTTAAATTTTGATAAGAGCATTTTCCGCCTGTCAAACATAAGGCGAAGTCTTAATTTGTCATCCGACAGGTTTTAAACGACAATTTGATGGAGGTGCTTTTATGTGCCAAAAAGCCGATTTTTAAAGCCACCATTGGGAAAATTTGAAATATTCAAAATGAGGAAAAAAAATAAGTGTTCCAAAATTTTATTACACTGGTAAATCAAAAAACAAGATATTGGGGCAACAAAGCTCCGTCAGCATAAAAAGGAATTTAAAAGCAAAGTTTTTCCGCACGGTCGACTTGAAATTTTTATTTTGCCCTGCTTTCGACGGTAGTTTATTATTCACATTGGGTTCTGCTTCAATTATGCTAATTAAACAAATGAGCGTTTCCCGTTTTGATATTTGCTCAGCGAAGAATGGTCTGTGGACTGAGAGTTGGTTCTCAATTGAGCTTTGCAAACCTGCCTCCATCCTGCATTCTGACCATGCTAATGAAATTGCCCTTAAAATTAATATTGACACCAAAATTTGTTCGCCAGTGGAAATTTCACCAAGAGACAAGATATAAAATTATTGTTTCCCCATTTATAATTTAGAAAAAAAAAATGATATTGAAAGAAAAACCATTGTTGAGAGGGAAAAATTGAACTGTTGCACTACGAGCAAAAGATGTTGCTTAAACTGCCGAATTGAATTCAAGAATAAAAATAACTGGTGAAAAGGTTTTTGAAATTTTGTAATTGATTTAATAGATTGGCTAGAACTTAAGTTTGATACAAAAATTAGAATGAGTTTTTTTCCTATTTTAGTTTTACGGCGACACTTAAAACAACTTTTACTATGTAACAAGTAAAGCTCCTTTTTAACTCTCCAGCAGTTCTGCACTTAACAACTCTGTACCCATTTCAAGAGGATTTTTAAGCCGAGTATCCTACAAAACGCAAGTGTCTCCCGAGACACTCGGCAGCAGGTGTTTGCAATCGGTTATTCTGCGATCCAAATGACTTGCGCGCATTAATTACCGCACGTCTCGGTACACAATTTATTGCACTCGGTGGTGGACTTGATGCATTTCACACAAACCGAAACCAAATATCCTCTCCTCTTGCAGCGAAAGAGCTGCTCGTATACGTAATCGCATATGTGCATACGTAATGCAATGCACAACAGCATATATATGATTCTCAATTTCAGTGATTGCGATTCTACAAGGAGAAGTTTTGACTCGTTGCCATGCGGATTGCCTCTGAAAGTCGGAATGCACACAGCGTGGTGCTTTCATGGCAACAGCTTGCTTTTTTGCAGTCAAGTTATGGTTAGGAAAGTTTTCATTCACTGCAGTTTGCTCTCATTTGCATTTTGCTCTAGTTAATGAGCAAAAAAATTCATTTGCTATTGCTTTTTGAATACATAATATCTGGCAAAAAAAACGATATTATTTTTATATTTTTTTTCTTCAAGCAGCATGTTTAAATAAAGCTTAAAAGAGATTTTCTTATCTAATGGTGGATAAGAACTTAACAAGATTATTTCAGATTTCTATCTTTTTTCTTTGAAAATTAATCTAGTATTTAAATTTATTCAAACTCTGCAATCTGGTTCAATAAATCGATAAAAATGGATTATTTAAATGGAACTATTATGCATTAATTTGTGCAGATAACATTATTTGAACATTTCCGATCTGTCGTTTGCGTCAGTTTCACATTTCAAAAGCTCGTCTCATGAATAATCAATGCAAGCGATTTATTCATTCCGCCAATCTGCAATATTTCTATATTTAATGTAGATGACAGGGCGGTGACGGTCTTTCGATTTGCATTAACCCCCATCGACCTACAGGGCTGATATGGAAATGTACAGGACATGGGCAGAAAGCGCCATTTTTCGCGTCGACACTAATGATCGCCCAAATTGCCGGCGTAGATGTAATTTATGCCGCTGGAAAATGGCACATTCAATCAATAAAGAGGGCGACATTTTATTTTGAAAGTGCGGAAGGCTAATTCGATATCAGATCGATATCGTGCACATTACGAAAAGTAAGCGGTCTCCGGAGAACAATAAGCACAAAAGTTGAAATATATAACGAACGAATCATGAGTTCGCGATAATTTCCAGCACGTTCTCCGTTTTGAAAGTGACAAACGTACATAATTTTCGCTGACGGCAGGTCGCTCTATTTTTTGTTATTGGAGCGAGCGGAAAAGCACTCGTAAAAAGCAACCAGTCGTTTTTTTCCTCGATGCACTCGGCAAGTTGGAATAGTAGTGCATCCTCGCTTTGTCTCAACACCCAAAGCCCATAAATCTCAAGAAAAGACGCTTTCAAAACGGGCGTCGATCAAAAATACATTTTCATCCCGCATAATATTTTTCTTTCGGAGAAAATTGCTCTGCATGATTTGAAGCCAGGGCGCGCTGGATCTAAATTGCATTTCACGCTCTACCGAGCCCTTTCTGTACATTATGACGGGATGATTGCGTCTTTTTAGACCCACATATTTCAGCAAACTGAACGAGGAATGATCAATTTTTGAGTAAAAAATGTTCCAATTATTGCGTCTTTGCTGCTTGGAAGGAGACGGAAATTATTTGACATGCGAAAATGACTTTCTGGGTGGCATTTCTTTTTCGCCACGCTGAACTGAATCGTAAAAAGGAAGTTGCGATGTTAAAAAATTTTGATTCAATGGCACCAAGGTTTCGATATAAATTTTATTCAAGCAAATGACTTAACAGCAGCTAATTTTTTTTTTTGTTAATTTTCAGGGGGATTTTTTTAAATAAATATTAAGACGTAAAAAAATCTATTAATGAACAACAGTTATTTTAGTATCAGAAATAAAAAAAAAATTTAATTTCCTTAACAAAATTCAATTATTAAAATAGCAGTTATAACAAAATATTAGCAAAATATACTTTATGTTCCTTTCGCGTGTTGTTGACCTTATTAAAATTATCTTAAATCCGCGTATTCAATAATTATCACAGACTGTACAGTTGCTTTGAACGGCACAAAATAATCAATTTTGAAACATTTAACATTCCTGCCTTGTTTTTCGCCATGGGGCTCGTGTATATTTTTTCGTCTCTCGAACCTGACCGCGATTTTGAGCAAAGTGCACAGACGTTCATTTTCGCCGGCTCTCTCGCTCCGATACTACTTGACTCACTTTTTTTAGAAAGGGTTAAAGGAGCGTGCTTTACGGCAAATAATAACACATATAAAAGTGGGCTGAGC